CGAGCTTGCAGCAGAAACCGATGAATGAGAGAGAGAGAGAGAGAGAGAGAGAGAGAGCGCAAAAAAAAAAATTCTATTCAAATGATGCTCGCGAGTTTGTGCGTCCAATGACCGACGAAACTGAACAAAGATATGTATTCCACGGAGAGCTTGAACCGCTTCTCTCTCTTTTTTTTCAATTTGAAAATCTCATTAGCGCGAGAGTGCTTCTGTTTATCCGGAGAGCGAGAGTGAGCGAGAGCGGGTTGGCAAAAGTCAGCAACGTCCATTGTATACCACTCGCCTCCGCTACAACCTCCAGAGCTTTTCTTTGACTCTGCCAACCGACTTCCCCGGCGAGCCGAGCTGCGTACCCCCCCCCCCCCCCTCTATCTCTCAGTCTGCCATCGACGCTCACGTCGGAATATTATATGGATAATCATTTCTATGCAGACGCTAATTAATTGTGCTCGCTTCCCTCCTCCCTGCCTCCTCTTTACGAATATCTCGCTAGACGACAGGCTCAATGCCACTTTCAAATTTTCATTTCTTTTCATGCGCGTCTTTCTACTGCTGAGCCGAGCGAGCTTTTCCAGGAAGCTTTCTGTGTCGACTGCACATCGCCAGGATTTTATTTATCACACTACGCACTTTCCTCTGCGTTTCGCTCAAGCCCGACGGAAACTTCAGCGCGATTAATACGTCCGTCGGTCAATCGATTATTCCTCGATTCTTTCGCGGGTTTATTTGTGGAAAACGCGCCTGTCTTTCGTAACGAAGGCGAGATGTCAGCTATCTCGCGCGAAAGTCGAGTATTGACGTTCGTCGGGAAATGATGAACCCCCCCTTCCATTGATATGATCATCCCTTTGATGACTTTAACACATCGATAAAATGTCATTATGGAGCACGTCAAATCAGTTTATCCGACATGGTGAAACGTCGATTTTAGAAGCCTAATATTCCACTCAGGTACCGGCTGTTTAGATCCGAATCCATTTATGAAAGTCGAATTCGGAAAATACACAGAATATTAAACGCTTGCGCTTAATGTGGTTTGATTGAGCAAACCTTATTGCGCTAGGAAATGCGAATATCCATTGACTATTCCAACGACATTATTCAGAATATATCATAGGGAATGCTGGCAACGGGGTGAAATCCAATGTAGAAGGTAGAAAAAAGGTAAAGTAGATCGATATTGACTTTGAAAGTTGTATCTTCGGACAAGCCACGGCAATCAACGAATTCATGAAGCTCATCCGAGGGGGTGAGCTGCGTATACGGAAACTTGGAAAAGCCCGTAGAAACAAGATACAGTGTGCCGAGAGCAGCGCAAAGAAGCAGCGGGCGTCGGCATAAAGGATCAAATGAAGGCCCCATTTAAGTGTCAATTTACATTGAAGCTCGCGCGCTCGCTTGGCTGTACATATATATACGCGCGCCTATGTGCACAATCAACGCCGTCGCGTCGAAGCCGAGGCCAATTTGCAAATTGGCAAGGGTGGGGACCGAAAAAAAACAGAAGCGTGCTGATAGAGAGAGAGAGAGAGAGAAAGAGAGAGACTGCACGTTTTTTTCTGTCTCGCAGTGCGGAGAGAGAGAGAGAGATAATTAGCGGTGATTAAAGGCCAGCGAGAGCGAGTGCGGATGTCAAGGTTAATAAGCCGCTCTCGCCTATCAAGTCGGCGAATTAATGGGATTCCCGAAGAAAAGTTACGCGAGCCGAAGCTGGCATTGTTGCTTTTAGTTATTTGCAGCTCGAGCGCGCCGCCAGCTCGGTGGATGACACCGAAAAGTTACACTCCGCTCGCGCTTATCAGCTTCAGATCGGCTTTTTCTCTTCCCGAGCGAGTCAACTACGTTCGTGCTCCGCGGGCTCCCATTTTGTTTTTCCAATGCACGCGCGCGCTTCGTCTCGTCGCGGAATCAATGCGCATCTGCCTGCTCGCGTTCTCGAAGACCTTTCGTTTCCTCGAGCAGCCGAATTTCTCGCGCCTCATTACCCGGTAAACCGAATTGCCGCTCGGTTTACCCGGCAACGAAAAATTTCGAGCCGGAAAGAGAAGAAGAAGAAGAAGAAGAAGAAAAAATAGTTGCGCTTTCGTTATTCCGCGGTTACGCAAATGCGGGAAAGCTCGCCTCGCGGTAATCTCGTTGCATCATAAAGCTCGCGGGCGCAACTTTGCCGAACGGGTGTATAATTGGAAGCTGCGCGCGAGTACGCGAGAGATTTTCAGAAACGCGATATCTCCCTCGCAGCGACGCTAGCAATGGCAAATGCATCGGATTTCCTAGAGTTTAGATATTTGGCAGGGGCCACCCTTACGTAACGCAACGATAATTCTGCGTTTGCCGGTGAGTGCTTTATTCTTGTCAACGATATCAGATTGAATGTTGGTTAATTTCATTTTCTATTTCTCGCCATTTTAATTACGGGGTGAAAACATTTTTCCAACTAAGGGTGAAGCATTTTCAAATAAACCAACAAAACTGACAGCTTAGTAAAAGACAAGCGAAGAAGAGAAAAGGGCAAGAGATGAAAGAGGAGAATGAGTTCTAATTTTTTCTGAAAAGAAAAATTGAGTGACAGCCGTTGGCGTGTAAGAAGCTCACGTGAGCTCCTACACGTGACAGCTCTCTTTGCTCTCCGAGCTTTCAATAGACGCTCCCATTTTCATTTTCATAAACTCTCTCTCTCTCCTTCGATATCTGTCTTTGACGACAGAAATACGTACAATCTTTATGAGAGAAAGAGAGAATCGAAGACAGATAAACGGAAAAGATTCGCGCTTGCTCGCGAGAGACGTACATTGTTATCGGCGTGGTAACTCGAGGGGTAAACGAACCTCGCGCGCTTACCTTCCAGTTTTCCAATACACGCGAGCGACGCGCCACGGCAACCCGTTCACAGGCCTGGATAAAAAAAAATGCAAATATCGCCCCCTCGCGCCTGGATGCCTCTTGCCCTCTCGCTATTTTCATTAGCGCTGCGCAAATATTTCTTCTCCTTCTTCGGTCTGAAACTTGGCGTGGCCGGGGCAGCGGCCAACTTTCGGCGCGTATCGCGTGAAAAGATGCGGCGCGAGCACGCGCGCTTGTAGCAGTAATTTGTTTTTTTTTTTTTTTTTTTTTTTTCTCTTTCTTTAACAAAAGCTACGCGGCAAGTTTTTAAATCGAATTGCATACGAGCCCCAGCCCCCGTCCCTGCTGCTACCCACGCGCCAAAAAGTTGAATTTCGCAATGTTCGATATGCTTCTTGCTCTCGGCTGCAGCTCCCCAAATGCCACGAATTGAACTGGAAGCGAACTGGGTCGAAGAGCGCGGCTTAGAAAGGCTAATTTTTTACCATTGAACTTTTCCGAGCCCGCTCCGCGATCCTTATATACGTGTACCGTCGCGTGCTCGCAGCCCTCTCACGCAGATCCTTGGAGGAGAGCAAACCTACAACTTCGCGTAAAACATCGACTTTATATACGAAGATTATTATTTACAACGTCGCTTAATTAACGACGCCGAGCGAGAGAGGAAAAGAAGCATGCAATTTCGACGGAGAAAGAGCTTTGATTAATAGACGCGTGGAGGCAACAAAAAGCACTGTAAACCCTGTAATAGGAGCCAGTCGGTATAAAAACTTATAAATGCAGGCTGGCAAGCGAAGTCGACGTGCGCTACTATACACTTGCATTAATAGGAAGTCTTCGAAGCTCCATTATAACACAAGCCACTCCGCATAATCCGACGTCTATCGGTCTTTTGGCGTTTTCTTTTTCTCCTTTCGCTGCAAGTGCTCTGACTGTTTCGTTTGATTACGTGGCTTTGACAAGAGCACGTACGCGACATGTGCAACTAGACGTGAAAGTAAGCTACCGCGCATCACATTAATCTTTCATGGGATTACGTAAGTATCTGCTGGAATATTAGCGAAATTTCGGTTTCAACTGATATTTCGGAATAGATATTACAAGTACAATATGAATATATCTCATCAAATAAACATTTGACATATTTAGATTGGCAGTGCGTTTACCTTACATTTATGCACAGCCGAGTTATTATATATGAATATTCTACATTTTATAAACAATTTTCAGAATTATTTGCATTGTTCACATCGATAGCCAGAGGAGATATATTTCAGCGGGTATACACATTTTAATCATACTGCAGCTGGAACGCACACCGGTGCTGTAAAATTAATTTAAAAAATACGTATAAACGCAGTTATATAAATTCAACTTAAATAAATGAAATTCATTTGAAATTCTATGCTTGGTTTACCTAATCAAATTTTAACGTTAATCATGCAACTGTCAGTAGAGGCATTCGATTTTTCCACTTCAATATTCCCAAGATTTCATTATGCGTACGTACAAATGTTTGTTTTTGACCCTACGAATGTTTGTATAATTGTTTGCGTGTAGCAAGTATTAAACGAAACAATTTTGTCATATTTATAAAAATTACGTAAATAAATTAAGTATTAATCTCTCTATCTCTCTTTTTTTCTCTCGATTGTCAATAACAATTTTCTTCATCTTGTGAAGCGTATCCATAACAAATAACCAATAAAAGAAAATGAAAACAATAACATATTTGACAATAACACATTGATAACATTAAGAGAGAAAGAGAGAGATCTCCACCCACCAAATCTTGGAACTAGTTGCAAGCTAAAGGAAAAAGCAACAAAGCAAGAAAAAAAGCTGATATACGCGGATCTCCCTTCCGAAATATTCCGCCCCGTGTGTCGATGCAACGACACCTCTGCAGCAGGGAACCCATATACACGCACACATCTCCACGAGAGGAAAAGATGTGTGTATATATATATATATATGTGTATGTATGTGTATATATATACACATACATACACACACACACACACACACATAGGGATGGGAGGGCACTTACATGCAGAGGGATGAAACGCGAGGCGGCTACATTCCACGACACGTACAGCCTACGAGCGAGGGAGAAAAAAAAATGGTTACATGTATGCGTGTACACGTCTATATACCTGTATAAGTCCATGGCTAGGCAACAGCAGAGCGCGATTTTATACCGCAATGCAGCAAAGACAGCCGGTACAGGACCCTCTCACTTCCCAAATAAAGATGCCCTCGCGATCAACATAAACAACACACAATTATATGCACTGCCACACTACATACCGAGCACACGAGAGAAAGCTGCATTACTCTACTGCAGCGATAAGGACGAATTACGAAATATCTCCTCGCGCGCTGTGAGGACACTGAACTCACTCACTCACTCACTCTCTCTCTCTCTCTCTTACTTGCGAGATATATATAGAGAGAGAGAGGCAAACAAAACAAAGGCGCGATCGATCGTTAAAAGGCCGTGGCACAGCTGTCTCTCTCTCTCTCATTGACTCTCATACACCAGCCGATGATAATCAAGATTCACGCTGCCTTTGTACTTATATTTGACGACTGCTGCTGCGGCTAGTTGACTCGCGTAAACACATTAACCCCGCGCTCTCGCACACACGACGAAACGATCTGTCTCTCGCAACCTATCTGTCTATCACACACGTTAGCCTATAGCCTGCTCTGTACGAGGGTGCAAGTGTGTAGGTGAGAGCTGCCCAAACACGCTCGCAACTCTGCAGCGGCAGCGGCAACGGCACCGCACATGCCATTCGACCAAATCTGTACGCTCGAAGCTCCATCTCACGGATGGAAAGTGAGAACTTGGTTGGCAGACTTGGCTTCCGTCCGAGCCGGGCGAGCCTTTTTAGTTCTGGGGCGCGACCTTCAATTTTGTGAGCTTGCCAAATATTTTCACATTTACCTTTAGACTTGGCCTAACCATTATTGTATATTACTAAAATAAAATATGCTATACCCTGACATGACGGTAGAAATTGATCGTATCTATTCGTATCGACTAATATGTAATAAGTTATTCAATTGAAGCTTAATTCTTAAGCTAGAATTAGCGTGAAATGCATTAATTCTATTTTACATGTCATGTGTCAAAATAAAATTTAATACTCATGAAATACAAAACAGTTTTTCTTTAGATTGATGATTAGACAATACATTTGCAAATCTGCCTATAAATATCTAAAACAGTTACATCTCGTTAACGCTGTGAATTTCAAGAAATAAAATCTTGTAATAAATACCAGAAAAACACAAAATTTATTCTAAATGTTTTTAAATGTTTTATTATATACTGTAAATAGTGCTATATAATATTACATAAACTATTAATTACAGAAATAAATTTCATACAACGTAATTGTTATAATAGTATTTGCATCCGCAAATTGAAAGAATACAAAGTATAACAAGACGTTTTTCTAAAAAGTTCTTTTGCTTGCAGTTTATCACTTGCCGCATTCTATAATTTATAAATTTAATTTTAATTACATCATTTCTTTTTCAACTTAAATTATTTACAAACGAAATCTTCTCCGAAGTCGACAAGTTCTATACGTTTTGTGCAGAGATTTCGTAGCCTCTGACTAAACGATCCAAAAAATTAGCAATTGATAAACTGCAGTAATGTTTCCGACATTACTTTATTACATCTCAAGGCTGGTTTACTTATTGGTAAAAACAAGCAAGTAAGATGCTTCTTTTGGAGTAGCTTATGCATATTTACAACAGCTGTAACGTACATGTCAACAAACGAAAAAATAAGCGCTTTTTTGTCATACTTAAATCCTTCTTTGACCAACTCAAGGCACACGTTTTTTGCAGTGTAATAGACACCCTCGTTACGAATCAATCTTGAAATCTCTTCCTCAGCCGATTCCCAATGGAAATTGAAGATTAAGATGTTGAAGTCAAAAGACATTAGTAAATTATTAGTCGTTGAACAAGAAAATAAAATAAATTGTTATTTGTCTAGAAATGGGGTTTCTTTGTAATGATATGGATCCTATAATAAACATCTGTAATGTAAAAATGCAGCGATAACATTCAAATTAACAATATCTGAACTCTGCATTATGGGCAATAATGCACATTTTCGACTAGCAATTTTTTTCCCAATTCTACGTTCATATTAACTTTCTTATACAATTACATCCCTTAATTTAATTCGCAACTTTACTAACGATGTTGTATTTGTATATTTGTTTACATTTTATTCTGTATCGATAGCATTTTTACACATACTGATACACATATCAATAGTTACCTTCACGTTTATAGAGAACACATCAGATATGGAGTTATAAAATCTTGTTATAATTTTATTGAATGAATTGAAAAGGACAATGTAATCAACAAAATGTAATAATATACATTTTTTAATTTACAGAATGAAAAAATCCAGTAATCAATAAACAATACTATGGATTATATTTGATAACAATATTCGAAATTAGCCAACCAGATAAAAAGCTTGCTCAAAATTGACACTGCAGTCAGAATTGATCTCCAAACACGCAAATATAATGTTTTCAACATTAATTATTCTAGTAAGGAGAAAAAAATAGATTCAAGTATTCTGTACGCAAGTGCACAAAAAGCTTTTGTGTACGCACAAAAAATCATCGCATTCAATAACACACGAAAAGGCATTGCATTATTTCCTTTCCAAGAAAGTGAATCTTATCTTCTTGATACTTAAAGCGATTAGCCTTGACAACGATGTTGGACATAACAGTAAAAATGAGGCATAATTGACACACCTGCGAAATAGTACACAAAGCTTTTGACAGGCATTTTTCTTACTACTTTTTATCTTCTCAAGCATCGAATTCTTTACATAAATAATGCAGAACTTTGTACATATTTTAACGTAGAAAGATATGCCTTGGTGTCGCGTGATTTAACGAAGCTTTTATTATAGACAAGAATACAGTAGCTTATGCTTTCTGAACCTTCAATATATTCCTTTTATAATGAAATTATATTGTTGTTAATACATTATAAAACGTAGCTTTGAACTCCGTAGATTTATCATACAAGTCAAACTCATCGTTGCTCTCTATGGTTATTATAAAATAGCCTTTTCGCAAAGGTTTATTTACAAATTTTTTCGCTGTAAAAGACTATAAAATTGCTGAGAAGTACATACATTCTTAAATACGCTGCAATGCACATTGCATAGATTACTAATGAAATAACTGAGCTTTTCGTTTTCCCGTAGAGTAGCATTATTTTTATTTTTTTATTATTGTATTTCTCATGAGAACATGCATCAATTTGAAGATAAACATGCAACAATAAAAGGATGACCGTTAAATAGATGATATGAAAAAAATAGACACACGATTTTAGACAGTTGCCTTTATTAGTTAGTCGAATTAAAATTCCAAAGCTAATTCAAAATATATCATTGCGTAAGTAAAATATTGGGATAAATATAAGTGATTCACAAGTATATCCATTTTATTTTATTTACGTTAATAGTACGTTGATAATATTGAATTCAGACTTGTAATAAAAATATTCACGCAAAAATGACCGTAAAGTTTATTCAAATAACACTAGATATTTCAGATATATATTCAAGCGGTCACGGTTATAAGAATCACTTATCATAGAACGAAATTCAAACATTATGCACGAGTAAATTGCATTCAAATTGAATTGTTTGTATACAAAAATATTGCGTCAAATTTAACATTATATTTAGTACGAAAAAATAATACATTTATATATAAACAATGAAATTATAATCAAAGTTGGAAAATTCATACAACGTAACTACAAATGATTATTAGCTTGAAAAAAAAACATTTTAATTAACAGTATCTATAGCAAAAGGAACAACAATAAATCATAATAAGAATAAAAGCATTTGTAACGCTAAAAATCGACGATATACAGTAGGCCAAAAGTAGCGAGTTAAAATAAATATAATATAAATGTACGTGAGCTCATTTTCAATTCATTACCTTTAAAAAGTAAATAACTGTCACAAACATATATATTTTATAAACGTATTTTTCAGTGTATTTATCTTTGCATGATCGTAATTACAGGAATAATCATAACTAGATATTGCAAAACACGGTAGATTTATCAAGAACAGAAAAAAATACTCGATAAATGGAATATTATATAGTCAACTAGAGAAATTTTACTTGTCTTACAAACATATGTACACTTTTTTTATCATATGAATTAATAAAATCTATGAAGCACTTTTATATTCAATATCAAACAATGTATCACTTATAAATTTTTTTCATATATATATTCAATATCTAAACATTTTTTCATTCATTATTATCGTTTAAAATCTTCCTCCGAATGTATGCTGAATATACGAATGTTCAATTATTGAATTTTTTGTCTGACAAAGAATCAATAAATATATTCATTTCATTGCGAGTCTTTATAAATGTAAATGCATCAAGAATTGTTAAACAATTTTGATTTTTTAAGGTCGACAGTGACATTTTCTTGCCAGTTATTTCCTTCCGGTTGCGTCCTTTTTTTAATATTAAAAAAAACATTCCGTATATTTTTGAAACTTTTTCTTATACCGTAATAATTAATGGAATTGCAAATTACCGATTAATCTGCTTCTAAAGAAATAGAATAAAACAAATAAAATAATAATATTAAGTATATAGACAAATAAGATAGCATCTAATATGCATATACGTATACATATATACATTATATTACAGGTATCATCATGAAAAAAGGAATCTCGCGCTAATCTACCCCAGCAAATCCTTGCGAACCCTCAATTGCTTTGATCAACTTATCCCTGAGCTGCTGGTAACTTTCGTAGGGTGGTAAGTCAATGCGATTAAAACTGTAAAAGATATTAATGTTCCAATATCAGAATCATGTAATTAAATATCATTAAAATTTAATAAGAATAAAAATAATTATAATGTAATACCTTGAACATATCTCCAAAAATAAAAATGCAAACTTACCAAGTATGAGCCCTAGGATAATTGTCAGGTGTACCCCATTTTTCGATGGTAAACAACTGTGGGCCGTTGCTTCCATACAGTTCTTTGAAACCGTTCATGGGGACTCTTGAAGTTCCGGTAACGAATTGTAGCAACCTAGCACGCATCTCGTTATTGAACGATAACACGACTCTCCAGTACCATTGGACGGTAATGTGATTTGCGTGGTAATCACCCTTGTAGAGAGTATTCTGCTTCCAATCTTTAACGTCAATGTGTTGAATACCACACATAAGTAGTTCAAGCTCATTCTCGTCGAAGATTTTGATAAGAGTGAGAGGCACTAAAGCATTGAATCCTTCGAGAAAAGCATTCATTTGTTCTTGAACACGTGACACGAAGCGCCACTGGATAACTAAACTAATGTACTCGTCCTTGTTATCGTTAGTCACAGGTATAGTGGCACCACCGGGCTTAAGTTCACGTTGGGATGTGTGTCCGAAGGATTCTTCGTCTAAACAAAAAGTGAGCTCTAGCTCCGTTGGATCATTTTCCTTAATCCAAAGCAACGAGTTGTAGTACTCCGAGTCGACGCTTTCCATGTCTTTCAGGTCGATTGTTTTGCCCAGCATCATTTTGTAGAATGGGCGAATGAAAAAGGCTGAAGTATAATAAATTGATATGATTATATAGTAAAAAGCTTACAAGATCATGTTTTTACAAGATAAAATAATTACCATCCAACAGTTTTCCATGGTAAACAGCCATTCCCGCAATACGTCCAATAAACTTGAAATAGTTCAAATGTTCTTCATTGCACACTCCCGAAAAAGGATTTATTTGTAAAGTATAATTGTCCCTGTACAAATAATAACAAGTGTCATAATTATACTTTTAAAGAAGCAACTATAAATACTCTAAAAACACATCGATATGAATCAACTTACATTGCCGAGTATTCAAACAACCCGTAGTATGGATTAAACATTTCTTTAGACAATAAAAAGAACCATTCGCGAGCAAGTCCACCATAATCAAGGCCAATTTCACCTTCAAACTCTACCCACAACTTTGTCTTCAAAATATCAACCCTATTTACAGAGCTAATAATGCGGTAAGAATCCTCCAAAATATTAGTCCGTTGAACTTTAATCTCGAACTTATTTGGAACGTTATTCTAAAAATAAAATATGAAAACTTTACTCACTAATTATGATCACGTTATCTTGCTAATATCAACAGAAATTTATTGATAAACATACAGGTTTTCTTAGCTGCGATTTAAGGTATTCGTATTTACGTTTATAATCTCTAGAATATGGTACAGCCTGAAAAGCGAATAGTAATAATATCTATTTGCCCCTAAACATTAAATAAATAATGAAAATGAAGATTTCAAACATACCGGTCCAGCTATTTGAGGATTTGAAAGTCGCGGATCTTCCCATTGCGTTGTTCTCGTATCTAAATAAAAGTGAACATTTTTTTGGTTAATCAATAAAATAAAATATTTCAATATAACTAATAATTTATTTCAATATAACTATAAAATATTTCAATATAACTAATTTAATTATATAGTCGTTATCGCGACAGTGCAGCGCGCAAGCTCTATCAACGTAAGAATCTGCGTTACCAGTTTAAACGGTATTGAATATTGATAAATTAATCTATAAATAATTACTGCATAGTTGAATTGCCACTCGTGCAAATATTATCTCTTTTAGTAAAAATTATTTTCAGAACTTTATGTATAAACAAAATAGTGGTCATTCGAATGAACAAGGAAAACGTCCTGACTGATATAATAATGTAGGGGCTTTCCACACACATGCAATACTCATCGAGTATAAAGCAGTATAAAACAGTTTTACATAAAATATACAAAATACCAAAGTAGTGGAAATGACGTTTTAAAAGAATAAAAAAAATTTCCGTAATTTTTTTGACAAAGATTATTAAAAATATACTGACTATGGTCAATAAAGAAGATCCTGCCGTCGGAATGGACACGTTCCTCCCATCCCTCAGGTAACGGTCCAACTTGGTCAATATCATTTCTGGGGGTGGCTGAGGGCACGTTGTGCCAGGGTATAGAGCTCGGTCTACCGGTTCGCGGATCAACCCACGTTGTTGCGCGCTCGTTGTGGTCAATAAAGAACATGCGCCCGTTCGGTGCCAATTGCATGCTCCAGCCTGGTGGTAGACCTTCCCCGTTCAAGGCTCTCGGACTTTCAATGTTCTTTAGAGAGAAAGAGGTAGAAAGAGAGAGAAAAAGAAAACGAAATTTTGTAATTTTGAACTCGATTTTATATGGATTTTTGTGTCATGTCTGCTTGAAGAAAATGTGCTGATAGGGCTAACGCAAAGAAAGTTACCTGTTCAGATGATCGCCTGGATCCAGCAGGACTATCTACATTATCATCATTCTACAGAAAAAAATTTTAAAAAATTATTTTCCTTCGTCTGTGAGAACCATCTGATGAAGCATTAAAATTAAGCTTCCATAAAATTTCTGCTACTTCAAAATTAATTTGTAAGAAAGCTTCCATTACAAAAAAGGAACTTCAATTATTTATTGATAATGTTTGCATATATGTAAAATAATTGTAAATTTTTTGAAATGAGAAAATAAAGTGAATAGGAATTCGGTAAATGTTGGAATGAATAGTTAGTATTATTGAATTAAAAATCGATAATACTTCGTAACTTTGTTTAAATTTAAATTGTACAGGCAAAAACCATTCATTGCAGGAATAAAAAGATTAGATTCGTGCAAAATAAACTTGTGCAAGATAAAACATTATAGTTTCATATAATGTTTATGAGATGATATCTATTGTAGCATGACATTCTGCAACTACTAGTCAAGTCCCATGTGTATGTATTTAATGTCACCATAGTAATGAAAACTTTGAATATTAAAAAAAATGTATTTATTAAAATTTTTAATTTAGTAGTAGCTCAAAATGTGCAGATGTCAAAAAAAAATGTTAATGAATAATATGTACCTGGCTATTATGACCAGTTTGATTATCAGATCGCTCTCCAGGGTCTTCGGATGTTTTATTAATTACCCTTTCCCTTTGATTCCCACTCTCATTCTCTTCATCCACTTCCGAAGATAATTCACCATCCTTTTACACACAAAACATGCAAAATATTCTACATACCACATGCCACTATCTCATTCATTTTATAATAAATTTATTAGTAAGATGGAAAAATGATATTATTGTGTGTATATACAAATTACCAAACTGATAAAAATGATAATTAACTCATTGAAAAACAACTCTATGATAGATGGATAATGACTTACCGGCGTTATGCTAATTGTCGAGTTCCGTTGTCTGTTTTCATCATCTGCACTAATATGAAATCGTCTTTGAAATTCATTTGTAAATTCATTCATATTTCGTTGTTCATGACTGACGCCACCAGTCGGAATATTTTCTCTGTTAAAACCATTTCATATTAATTACTTCTTTCCAGAATAAGTATTATGAGTGAACATAAATTGACATAGTTAAGTTTCTTAATGTCAATTCAATAGAAGCTCAACACTTACTGCACTAAAGTCGGTCGCTCCCATTGTGTAAAACGAGCTATATGGTTAACATAGTAGGTTCTTCCATTTGCATCTTGCCTTTCTTCCCAGCCAGGAGGCAATGGTCCAAGAGTCGTTACCTATTTGAATAATGAATTAATTGAATAATAAATTATTGTTAACAGTGAATATTATTCCAAATTCGTTAGAAGATTCCATTATGAATAAGAAGATCCTTACTTCTGCTGGTTGCTCCTCTGGAGAATTTGAATTAGACGTTGGCTGATCCAATATTTCCCATCCTCCAGAATCAGACGCTGTGTCATTTTCTCCATTATCAATGGCACCATTTGAATCTGATATATATGCATGATATAATTCTAGGGTGCCTTTAACCTTCGATCTTTGATTAGTACTGCAATGTAGTATTTATTGTAGTTAAAACCATAACAAGTAAATTTTATCGATAATAAAAAAATTAAGAAAATACAATGGAATCTAGTACTATTCTTCTATTGCAAAATCAATGATAGTATAAATTTTTATTAAATATTCTATTGAATAAATCAAAGTCAACGTGTAGTATACAAACTCAATTTTAATCATTGAAATATATTGAGGATATTAAGGTTTGTTTAATATTAACTAATAATGTTAACTGACAATATTGAAATACATACTTTCGAGGGCGAAGAATATACTGTTTATTAAGAATAGTCCGACCATCTTGTTCCTTTGGTAAACTATTCAGTGTCAATTCAACCATTCCCAAAAAATCATCTCTTGTCAATCTATTTTCATCAAATACTTGTAGCACCAATTTATGTTCAAGTGGTTTTACCTAAAAATGTTTGAAAGAATAAAAGCAACGTTAAAAGGTCTAATCAATCTCTCAGTGCAATATTATTAAAAAATTGTATATAACTCACTCTGAATATGAACTCTTCTCCCCATTTGGGATTCAGAGTTTTTTTCTTCGTCTTTGTAAGTACAGAATCCACAGTCTCATTGCCATTGATGTTATTTAATTCAATACGCACATAAGGATCACTTGCTCCAAAAATATCTTTTCTGGCTAAATTATGACCAGCTTGTACCCGCAACCTCAACCTGCTTGTAGCTTCTTCTCTCTAAAAACAATTATTTTACAATATCATAAAACTACTTTCAAATTAATTATTTTCAAATAAGGTGTACATTAAATTAAAGCTTCTGCAAAATTTAAGTTAAAATCTAACCAACTGTAGTAATCAAGATGAAGATATGCATGCCTTCAAATTACAGCAAATACAAATTTTTTAATTTAAACTATTTCTGGTGTAAATCTTGAAATTAAATAATCAATCGTATCAGATAAGTATTTTTTTTTTGCTATATTAACATGTATATATTGACATTTATATCTTGTTCCATTATAGAACATTTCTTTTACTAGACTTGAGAGAATTGAAAAACAATACAATGGAAATAATAATAATAAATGAATAATAAAACTTTGAATTGCTTTTTTATTCATATATCAAAAAACAAAAAAACGGAAGACATAACTAGTAAAAAATACCTATTACTGTTTAGTCATGTTTTTATCTGGGTATTGCCTATTGCTAATGGCCTCAACAATATTATCGGTAAATTAAAATTGTTGGCGAGCTCGTCATTTACAAAATATGTGGAGTTAAGCTCCAAATTACAGTTACTGCAACATAGGTGTGACTGTTGTAAGTATAACGTAAAGACGAAATTATTGTAAGAGCTAAAGAAATTCTATGGAATAGCGGAAAAATACAGAGGCTAAACGATCGTGAGTTGGGGTAAGGTGTTCGGGGTTGACGAGGCGAAGCCCTGGACGAAAATATATCGAAAAGAATGTTATGTTGAACTGTCAAAATAAGATTTACATACGTCGCTGCCGTTGGCGCCGACTGTCGGATTATAGCCGTACACATTGTCTTCTGCCATTAACGAGACTTGCGAGAGATTTTCGCTTGAGTGTCGCGCGCTTAGCCTGCTCCGCCTTCGCCTCAGTTTACCCTTGCGTTCCCCCAGCTTCGGTTTATTTGGGCAAGAGAGTACACGTACAGCCGGATTTCACGCTCTCGCTCTTTCACACTTGTATTATTTAACTCTCGGCTGCCATCAAGAAAAATCTATTTTGTTCTTAACCCTAGTACGTCACCGAATATCATGAGAGAGAGAGACGGATGTGACATGTTGCCCGTTTAAAGATGGCTACCTTTCCCCCCTTTTTTCCTTTCGATATGATTCAACGTTGCCAGCGCGAATGCGCCTCTCTCTCTCTCTCTCTCTCTCTCTCTCTCTCTCTCTCTCTCTCTCTCTCTCTCTCTCTCTCTCTCTCTCTCTCTCTATATATATATATATATATATATATATATATATATATATATATATAGGCGCGCCTATGTATGCATATACAGATTTAACTATGAGTTACATAGTATGCGTTGTGCGACTTTTTTTTAATACGACTTTTTCGCGTGCCTGCGATTGATCATATAATGAACTTTTTTTTGGCAAAATCCGTTAATGGCGCAACAAACGTAAATGTTCACAGTCAATCCTAAAAAAAAAGAACTTGTGTCGGACTTGATTGTAGACGTGTGAATCAACAAGTTTTTTGAGGTTAGGATTGCTCGGACCGAAACTGGAACTCGTCATATTCTAGATATGATGATATGAGTGCTTTGGCGAACGCGAGATGACAATAAACGCAGACTATACGTTAATCATTTTTGTGACGAAATGATAACAATTAACAGTAGTTAATAATGATGACTAACTGTTGTTCAATCATAACCAATGTTAAACTAACCAATTAACTATAATTTACATATAAATACACTTTAAAGAATAAACAATCAACTTAACAAACAAAAGAAGTAATAATGCAATCTAATTTATTTCCTTATGTCTGGCATCATTGGGATTCACGATAACGAAATGTCAACAATATTATTATCAATTTTTACTTCCTACAAGTAGTTTTTTCCTTTTTATAGACATATATTCATTAATTATACATTATTATTTTTTAGCGCCTAAAGGTCTATAAAATTATCAGTTTTACGGAACTATTAAGACTTTATTTCAGTATCTTAATTGTTTTTCGACAATTCTTTTTTCGAATTATCCCGCCAAAGTTCACTTTTACACGGCAACACTGTTCAACATTTGAAAAGAAATTAAGGACTTGATTAAATGTAATTGGTACATTGATTTTCTGAGTTCATGTAAATATGTTTGCTCTTCAAATAGGCTTGCTTTCCAAACATATTTTGAATATGATTATTTTTGTATCACGCGTGTAAAATGAAATTTTGTACAATCGTTTCTAAATGTTGCGTTTATATACGTAGTATTCTCGGGAATTGGTATATTATTTTAATAGATTTTTGTTTTTATCGTAGTATGTTTATTCTAATCTATATTGTGACTGTACTTTATCAATTGTAATAAACAAAGCAAGAAATCATTTATTTTCAATTACTTGAAGCTCACTTGACTTTCTATAGTTAATCATTATTCAAACAACTGTACACCTGTGTGGGAATTTTCTGTACAAAGATCAAAGATAGATATGTTTGCTGCAATGAAAATATGCTTCCTATTGAATTGCAAAGTATTCATACAATGATTCTTTGTTGAATGCTTTTAGCAAATAATAAACAATATGTTACACGTGGGACAGAACACATTTTGTTCAAATAACTGAACTATTTAATTGTAGAAAAATCAATATATAGAGTTAAAATTATAGATAAGGTCTTACTACTGGGGTATAAGCAAGTGATACTCTGGTTGGTCGAGTTCTTGAAATCTCTTGCTGAGGCAGACGAATATGAGTCCATGAATTAGCTCTTCGTCTAGGTTGAGGTGGCTCCACGCAAGCATACATTGGATATGTCAAAGTGCCTGGCATTATCTATTTGAAGTCTGCTAATATTGCAAAACAAGTTTTAATTTTTCATTTGTAAAAATCTATGTACTTTTAAATTTAAATAGTAAAATTGTTAAGTTAGAGTGTCAATTCTTACGAAGCATCTTAGAATCAAATTTGTTTCATAATGTTCTTTGTTATGCAATATCAGATATCAGTGTGCAACAGTTTTTTCATTGTTTTTAACAAACGATAAGTTGTTTTGTTAGCAATAAAAATATGCTTTTTAAAACACAATTGTACGAAAATGAAATAATTATGATTTTATATACAAGTTGAACGATTTTTATCTTAAGATAGAAAATTCCGATATAAACGTAGTTATCTGTTTCCTCAAAAAGCCAATCAATTTAAAAAGTACACGATTTTTTTAATGATGAAATGAAACTTGAATGTCAATATTGAATCACCTTAACTTGCGTATTCTCGTTCTTTATCCATATGGATATGGTATAAGTTCAATACTCCATACGACGACACATTACATATTATTATCAGTTTGTCACTAGGCAGGATTATTTATTGCAGGCGAAACATATCGCAAAAACAAAGTGAATTTAATGAACCAGCGTAAAAACAAACAACTTTAATAATCGTAACGACAACTTTTTTAACCGTACACTTTTCACTCGTCGCGCAATGATGACGCACTTGTCGAGTCTTAAGACAGTCGTTTAGCGGAAATTGATGTCGAGTTGCTCTCCGCGAATACACGGAATATTATAACAAAAAAATTTAACTACTCCGCAATGTTAGAGATAACGACTGGCTTTGAATCACATTGCAATAACGCATATATACTCTAAGCTCTTGAAGATAAAAGTACGTACAGCTGAACGACCGACGAAAGAAATCGGCCTTATCAGGGCATTGACGAAAAAAATAAACGCCTTGTCGATTACTCTGACGGTTCTAATTGCCTCAGCAAATTATGCAGAGGTAAATAAAAAAATGCGCTTCGTAAGATGACAACGTTGCAGACATAATTATGTGTTTGTTCGCAATTATTGAACCCCTTCAGTTGTCAATTGAAATATCAACGTTTTTTTTGACGCGCCGTAATTGCAACGTATAAGAAATAATGCTTCTTTTGGGAGTACAATATCACTTTAATTCGTTATTAGCAAATTTCATTTACACAAATCAGTTTTTTTATAACATTCTGTTTTGCTATGGTACTATAAAAAATATAAATAAAACAATTTTGATGAATGAAAACTCAACACCGATTTTTAAAAAAATATACAAATAAAATTTTTTCTGCTTTTGCCGCTACCAAATTTTACAAATTTGTATAGTCATGTGGTCTAAAATCCTTTAAAACTGTCGCAAGCAGACTATGTCAGCTGCTGCTTTAATTTCAGTTGTCGTAATAAGTCTTGTACACTCCCGATTGTCACTTATTCTCCATATAACATTATCATCAAACACCGCGATAGTACGGAATTAACTTATTGTTGAAAGTATAGACAGAAAATTCTGAATAGAAAAATTCTTGTAGAAATCAGTAGAAACTTACTACGCATTAGCGACCTTTCGCAATTAAATTATTTCTCGAAATAAAAATTCTAATCAATATAAATCATCACCTTAAAAATGCAAAAGTTTAAAAATATCAAAGACAAATGCTTGAAAATCCATCTTTATAAATAATTTTCTACTGGTTTACAATGTCGCATTATATTTCAAGAAATAGCGTTGTTTTCGTTTTGTCTCTCATCGTTCGTCTGTCCTTTCATATCAAATGAAGATTGCGCGCAAATCCACTTAGCTCACGTATGAATATACACTTATTAAATATTATCCAGAAGAAACCGAGAATGACAACTTTGTTAGTTTATTTTTAAAGTACGCAGAGCCGCTTAAAAGCCGCTTCGATGGAATTGCTAGGAACTGTTAAGATGCAGAGGTATGACGAACTTCGGTCCAAACGGTGATCTGTAGGAAATGCCTACGTCCGAAAATACTCTGCTTGGCAGAGCTAGGTTACACAGGTACAATCTGCCATTTTCAGCGCAATGAGATAGAGGTAAACCAGATACAAGACTGTACTTGCTGATGATACCAGGTGTACCCATCGAAGGAGGTTCGATCGCCAGTATGGAAGCTCGGTTATTATTTGCCCACTTGGCTACAGGGGTGATGGTTCGAGGAGATTTCTCTTCATAGAGAGCAACAATTATAAGATCTGCTACCGTTGGCAACTTCTCCACGGCATTTTCTACTTTATTTCCTGTGAGCTTATAAAGCGACAACTCCTGTAGCAGAAATATGTCCTCGGAGCTTTCCACGTAGACGATTGTCTTAACTCCGTGGCTCGATAGCTGTCGTGCGCAATTTATACCTGCGGCGCCAGATCTGTGAGGTCCACAGAGAGCGACAACCGTTGGCCATTGGTGGGCATTATTAGGATTCAATCGGTGAGCTCCTCCAAGGAGTTGCAAGATTATCTCAGTACCCGCTCGTCCCAATAACTCTACCTGTATAGTAACAGACAGAATAGATCAAATCATAGATCATAATTTTATCAATAAAGAAATAGTGCTTACACTTTTTTCAGATTTTGATTCATTCGTATGAGAACTAAAGGATATGAAAACTAAAATAATTGAATTGACCCTTACCCTTCGTTCCCAACTAATTCCAAGTCTGTCAGCAGCTCCAATCAATTGTCTTTGGAGCTCCAATGTAATACTTGGTATTATTAAACCGTCATCAGTCACATATTCTTTTGCAGCAGCACTAGGTACTGCAATTTGCCTAAGAGCTGTAGGTTCTGACTCTAGTACATTTTCATCATGTCTGTACCTGCCTTTATTGCCTCCTCTATTTTGAGATTGTTGTACGACGTCTGGTTTCTTAGAATTAATTTCTTGCCATACAGCCTGTAATTTAACAGTAAGCATTTATTTTAAATGATTAAAAAAAATTAAGTTATGAAATATATAATTTACCTCTTTATCAAACAATGCAAGATTTTTTTCAAAGTCAAAGTCTTGGCTCAATGATTGGTCAATTGGAGTACCAAAAGCTTGTTCGTCTCTTTCACTCATTTTTTTTCTGGATGTTCTAGCTTGACCTGTTATAAGAATAAAAGAAGCATCTTCATGCAATATTTGTTTTGATTCTTAATACTTCAGTAAATATTGATATCGTAATTGTCAATTGTTTAAAAAAATTAAAAATAATAAGAAATACAATTATAACATACCAGCTTTTCCATTGGCATTTTGTACTTCTGAATATGGCTGTACTTCTGATTGCTGTTTTCTTACATTTGGCAATAGCTGAACTGTTTGAGGTTGTGCTATAGGTACAGAACATTCTGAAACTGATCTCCCAACTCTTTTTGCAATAGGTCTTTTGACCATGACTTTACTTTGTGCCTGTACATCTCTTTGAGCTGTGGCATCTTCTACTTGAATAATATCTACATTCACTATATCTTTAGCTCTAAAAAAACAAATGAATTTGTGATTTTTGAATACTAATAATAAAAGAACAACATTAAAAAGAAATTTAGTCTACTACTTTGAATTTGTTAAAAATTTCAAATATAACCAAGTATAAAACATACTGTTTGATTAATTATTGAAGAAAAAGGAGAAGAATACAGAATTTAATGAAGACTGAACAAACCTCAATGTTACAGTTGGTCCATTGTGAGGGATACCATTACAAAATGGTTTAGCGAGTGTAACAATTTGATCATTCAGGGCAACAATCTGACCCTGGTAGCTTCCTAAATCTTCTGTACACTTTATGGATACAGTACAGCCCAAAAATTGTTCTGACATATTGAGATCACTCTATAAAATAAATTGAAAAATTGAAATAAGGAAATACCAATGAATTATTAAGATTCTTTCAATAAAGAAAAATTATTAGGCAAGATTAAGAAAAAATAATAAAATCAAATTATAATGCAACAAAATGAGAAGTTAAACGACCCTAGAAGTAAATACAGAGCACATCGGAATTTATAAGCAAAAACAGTTTTTACAACAGTAAATATGTGATAGGCCTTACCACTTGAATAGGATAATAAAATGCTTATTTGTGTTAAATCATTTAAGACTATTCAGTTTTCAAAGATCAAATTCTGATGATACCTGATAGGTTGAAATGAGGAATATCAACGAATACTCGCAACTGAATAACAGGTTATAGAATAGAACGAGAATTTCGCTTCAACACAAACCTGAACAAACAAACGCACAGTAGTTTAAAACCGTAGATGCATAACCTATGCTACACGTTAGAAAAAGACAGAGTGATAATCTCATATCTAACGCGCAAAAGCGAAGTGAGAAAAAAAAGGCCAAAGTGAGATCGATGTTTTTTATTCGTTCAGTTAAGCGCAATTTTCAAACGTGGAAAATAAATTGATTATTAGTTGTCTTTTTATCCACATTTCGGTCAAGAAATTGAACTAATATTTTTATTTAATAAAAAGCTCTTCTTTAACTATAATAGGGAATCTAAAATCAATATTAATTTAAAAATGTTAGTCCCTTTACATTTTTAATTTTATAAATAAAGATAAATAAATGTATGAAAGTATGCGGTTCTTTCTGATAAAACTTGCTATTTAAGTTTAATTTCAACTTTAAAATGGTCTTAGAGCATCTTAAATTGAGATACAGTTTTAAAATTTTTGATAAATTATCTATAAATAGTAATATATATATATAAATAAAAAAGCTTTAATTAATTATCAGTTTTCATAATTGTTTACCAATATATTAACATACAAAAAAAATAATTAGCTAAATAATTATAAAAATGTATATAGTGTAGCTTCACATTACACACATATACACGCATACACACAATATTTTGTCAATTATCTCTTCTAGAATATATATATATATATATATATATATATATATATATATATATATATATATATATATATATATATATATATATATATATATACACATATTAAAATTGCATCTCAATTTAGGATAGACGAAAATCAATTCCAATAACCTTATATTTCACTATATTATTTATTTATATTACACAATAATATTATATTGCATACAACTTGAGCCAGAGATTAGGTGGCTTAATCTCTGTTTAATTATACTAATTAACATCCCGAAATGCTCAAATTTATATTAATGTATTCATTATAAGATGAAAAGAATAAGCATAACTCTATTTGAAAAATTTTTTCAAGATAAAAGTATACTACCTTAAATTCAAGTTGAATTTGTATTGAATATTTTTTTTTAAATTAAAATAAAGTGTTCAAAATTTATTTATCATATTTTTATTAATACATAAATATGTATATATAAAAATAAATTCATAAATGCTGACATTTACAAATAATTTTTAGATATACGTTGATTTTCAACGATTTCGTACATAATTACGTTATATATCTCAATCTACCTAGCTTATTAATAACATTATACACAAAACTAATTAAAGTTATGCAAATTAAAAATAATTTTCTCATCGAGACAATCTACATTGGAAACGCTTACGTGATTTGCAAATAATCGTGAATATTGGATATATTGATTATTAAAAATTTGGATCTACAATAGTGAAGATATGTTTATGCGAACTATAGAAATGTAATTTTTTTCAAGTTACAATTTGACAGGTGCAAACGAAACAAAAACAAAAGAAGAATTACAGATGAAAAGCGCTTAGATAGGAAAATACGAACTAGGAATTTCTCATCCAGTCAATGGCCGTCTAATAAATTAGTCAATCTATTTAGAAAAGCGTTGGCGACAAGGCCGTGTAGAGGACATCGCAAACAAATAAAAAATGACCTTGGCTTCTACTCTCTCTTGGTCGTTTGCCTGGAATAGCATGCGCTTCCTCAATAGTTGAACAAAAAAAGACAACCAAAAGTATATAACTTCAAAATTAACTTTCGGTATTAAAGTGAAAATGCGATAACGACCTTATAAGCTATTTTTAATCTTTATTCGGAATGACGTACTTTCTTTGTCTACTTCTATGGGTACATGATAAGATATCTACGTCTCTGTTGGTCATTTTTAATCTTTTATATAATTAACCGAAATCGTGAAAGAGATATTCAAAGAATCTGATCCTATAGGAACATTTTTTGTCGAGTATATATATATATATATAAGTGGGGATTGTGATCAATAGCTCGCTAGTTGATTCTCAATCACTGTTCCTTCTGCATAATAAAAAAATGCTGGTGTTTAGTGTAAGTTTTATGAGAATAATTGGCATACATTTAAAGTATTTCGCTATGCAATTGTTAACATACTTTTAGAAATTAAACGTAGCAACTTTTGTCAAAAGTACGATTTCATTTTTTACTACTAGTACACACGACTAATAAATATCCAAACAATGCCTTCAAAATCACATGAATTATTTAAAAAATAGCAATCCGCGAATTCGCAAATCAATAAAGGTTGCACGCCATAAGTACTGCAGACGCAATGTGAATCAAGCGTAACAAGCATTCAAACAATCAGAATCAACAACTGAAATCATACGCAGGTGCTGTTACTTGCGACGTCGGCGTTCGCCATGCCAAGTGTCCTACCCACGGGAAATTCTCAGAACGACCAAGTTGTTGCCAACCAGCAGATTGCTGTTGATCAAGCTTCCAACGTCGTAGGCAAACAAATCGTAAACGATCCTGTTCAAACTGATGCTCAAGTAGATCAACCCAACGCAAACAACGCCTTCTTCGATCAAAATCAACGAGGTGTCGCGCAAAATGATCAACAAGTCATAGTATTAGGTGGACAAGTGGGTGAGTGTCGACTGCGATAGCGATAAAGAAAAAAAACTCGCACTCTCATATATTTTTTTAGCATTTTTTATTCCTTTGTTCTATTAGCAAATTAAATTTTTTAGCGCTTTGAAATGCACATGAAAGTACATAGTTGCAACTAATAACTTGGTGCTATAGTAGAAAAAAATATCGTATAAAGCTGAAACTCAAGCATCATTTTTATATTTAATTATTTTTAAACAGGACGAATAACCGGCGGTCAAGAGCCCGTTCAGCAACAAGCTCAGCCGAGCGTAGCTAATAGTAAAGTCGTAGCAACCAGTCCTGTCAGCTCGATTCCAGTCCAGACTGTGTTTGACAGCCATTCTCCCGATCAATATGTTATGGCCGGAAGCTACATCGTCGATCAAGGTGTTGTCCTCCCTCAATTACAAATGGATGTTATACTAGCTAGGCAAGTAATAGTGTAACCAAAACATCATGTTTCTGGCCACCAAGGGTTCGCCAAAGAATTTCAATGTCATCTACAAAAATGGCTTTTTGCTCATTCACTCAATTCTCCACAGCCTCGCAATTGACGAGCAAGCGGCCAATGATAAAATTGTACATCAGGAGATCGGGATCAATCCTGACGGAAGCTTCCGCAACATATGGAGCTCGAATAATGGAATAAATGTACAGGAGACCGTCGTTAAACGCGTAGATGACACCGATGTGGCTGTGCAACAAGGAATGGTATCGTACATCGACAATAAGGGAAATCCATTCCAACTCGAGTACGTGGTCAATGAGACTGGCTTCCATGTAACGGATCCCCATATTCCTACTTCACCGCCAATGCCCAAAGCGATCGTTAGGGCCTTGCAGTTTATTCTTGATCAGCCCTCAACTGAGGCTCCGGTCGAGACCACTACAGTCAGTTGATACTCGCAACGATTTTCTTTAACGATAGCATTTGAAATGCTTCCAACAAGTGAAGTTTCTTATTCGAATGTTCACAGATCCAAGACGAAAGTTCAAGCGAACAACCAGAACAAGCTGTTACCGACGAGACCACCACAGTAAGTCCATACCTATAATTTGCTTTTTCAACGCGTCATGCGGAAAGTACGACTTATCAAAATACGCGCGCTTAAATTCGTGTTTTCTACACGATGCTTTAAAAAATACCGTACCAATATATAAGATGTTCGGGAAAGAGACGAGAATCTACTTTTCTGCACTAATTAGGTAATGTACTATAACGATGGCAATTGACATCCTTTCAAGTGGAATTTTTTATTCGCTTGTTCACAGATCCAAAGCTAAAACCTAAGCGATCAACCAGAACAATAACCTTCCGTTGTCGATAACTGAGCAGCGGAATTTTTTTGTTTAGTTAGAAGTGATTTGCTTATCAAACTTGTACGTGTATGAGTACTACATAATACATTGAATTAATAAAAGATATTTTGTTATTAAAACTTTATAATTTATTTGAAAGTGGATTCTTTTATGAATAACAGACAAGATTGTAGAAAGTTTTTCATTTTAATCAGCTTTAAATATTGTGTCCAAATTATTAAATTAATCAATCAGTAATAAAAACATACGTACGTATCGACTGCTTCATTTTCGACATAAAAAATCTATAATAATGTCGACACACACAGCAGCAAACCAGAGAAGAGAGATTGCCGTAGGGGTTCCTTTTGACATAAATTTATCCGGTGAAATTCTAATGACATCATGTTTAAATTTTAGGGAATTGTATTTCGAATGTTCTGATACTGGGCAACATTTTCGTCATATATTTTTATTCGAATTAAAATATTATGTAATTAAATTCGTAAAACAATATTTAATAAATAACTAACGAAGTCCAATCTATTTCTTGAACTAATTCATAGATGCATAGGCAAATGGTGTATTCGAAAATAGTACATTGATTTTCTATAATTGCTTGTAACTCGCAAGCATAATTGCGACTGGTAATTATAGAAGAGAAATCAGTCAATGCGTTAATATGCCTAGTCCAATCATTTCTAGGCTAGCAAGCATACTTAAATCATAAATAAAATAGTCAACTATTGTGAAATCAAAATCATAATGATTTTTTAAAAGTAAATAGTCGTCAAGTTCTTACACAATTTCTCACGCAAGTTCTTACTCACGACTTTACCTTCAGGAAGACATCTTCGGACCGTGACCGTCGGCGTAAGTAGCGTCTGATGCTTAAATAGCCGACTTAGGAGTGAAAGCTTAAAGATATTAATCCTTCCCCCCCCCCCCCCCTAATCACCCTAATCCGCCTAAATTTTTAACAATAGAATCATATGGCCATTTTGGATTTATGGTAACTTAAATACTCAAAACTATTAAGCTATGCTTCCCATGAAATAGTTCCTACAATCAGAGAAATGCCGTAGATAATTCTGAAGATGTATGGTTTAAAAAGCAATTATGCCGGGTAAATCCCGATGTGATCCACACCGAATAAGTACTAGAGGCGGTCTGCAGCGATGATCAGTCAAAGTCCGACGCGCTCGGCAGACAATTAGCAGCAATAACAACAGCGAGAACCAATTGAATCTCTGAATTATGTATATTTATGATATATACAATTTGAATAACACAAAATCTTTTGAGAACGCTTCCACAATGTTTTCTGCCAAACTAAAAACGTTGTGAAATTTTGGTGGAATAAATGTTTTAAAAACGTTTTAGAAACGTCGGATATGTTCACAGATTTTATGATACTCAGACAAAATTGTGTTTTTGAAACATTTGGAAACGTTTCATCATTAAAAATCTAAGCGGGCGATATTTTTAATTGTTTGTAAAACATTTTCCAAACGTTTTGATATCGTTTGATCGATTATTATATTATAAGCTTAGGCTATTATTAGATCAGATTGTATGTCGTTTATAAGGCTCTTTCCAGATAAGATCCGAGGGTCAGAAAACCGCGGATATTTTGCTACAGTCCGCTATTTCGCTCTGTTCCAATTCTGTACTAACAATAATTAAAAGCAATCTGGTAATAGCGTTGTAATATGTTGGGGTTGGAACATGTAAACACAGTTGATTAGAAAAAAATAACTAATTAATTTACTAAATTAACTTTTTTCATTGTTATTGTTATTTTGTGTAGTTTTCTAGATCAACATTATTTTTATTTATATATATTTTTTCTTTTAATCGACTGTGTTTACGTGTTCCGATCCTGACATATCACAACACATATTGCCAGATTGCTTTTAACTATTGTTGGTACAGAATTGGAATAGAGCGAAACAGCGAACTGTCGCAAAATACCGCGCGGTTTTCTGAGGCCCTCGCCTCATATGCGCATACGCGCGCGTACAAGGGCGTACAAACGCGTACAAATCGCTAAAAATGTTGATAGTGCCAACAACAAAAAGTTACTACTATTCTTCGCATGCCCCAAACGAACACACTTACTCCCGGAACAAACGTATCATAACCTTCAATAATATAGCGTTATGATACGTTTGTTCCGGGAGTAAGTGTGTTCGTTTGGGGCATGCGAGGAATAGTAGTAACTTTCTGTTGTTGGCACTATCAACATTTTTAGCGATTTGTACGCGTTTGTACGCCCTCGTACGCGCGTATGCGCATATGTGGCGAGGGCCTGACCCTCGGATCTTATCTGGAGAGAGCCTGATATACGCCGTCAACTGTGTTTTTCGGCCCACGAAACGGAGACATACGGACTGATTCCGGTTTCCCGCCATTCAAGGCATCAAAGATGTGATCATTGATTGTCCCAAATATAACACAGATATTTATTAATTAAAAAATTAAAAAGAATAATTACATCAAATGGCCCATAAATATAACGAATATACTCAAAAGTCCAAAATAGACTCTAGTGTTTGTTTTGTTACTAAATTTTTTAAGAAGGCCGTACGCCTAATTAGTGAGGTAGTGTATATTTATTCCCTCCCTCTCTCTTCTTACGTTTATATAAATTTTTATATTTATATCATCAAAATACAGAGCTGTTTACCAACCTCAAACTCAACGTTATCATCACCCTTTCAAACGAAATAATCTGTAATGAGTTTATATAGTAACACAGTCATATTACCGACACCTGGTGATGGTACGGTGAAACTAATAAAGCTTATTGCACGAGCACGCCAGTTATAAAGAAGAAGAATGTTTCTCTACCATTCTCTGCAGCAACTAATAGTTAACCTCTAAAAGGTCTAATAGCTAACTTCTAAAAGGTATAAATATTTTGTCATTGTAATCTTAATAATGATAGTAGTGTAGTATGTATCATAAATTCATAAATTATGGTTACTGAGGAAAATGATGAATTCACATTAGTTAAATACAATTCACGTCGTCAGCGCAAAAATAAATTGAAAGTAAATAAGAAAAAGTTGGAAGCTGTTGAATGCAACTCAGTATATTCCGTGAATGAAATTGTAAATAACGTGAATAACGCAGTAAACAAATTCGAGGAATCACCATTTCATCAAACTTTATTGAACGAATTGAAAAACTCATTGAGTCTTTTGAACCTAAACAGCATTGATTATATCATTTGTTATGGTCTTGGAAATTTTTCAGAAAACATTTGTCCAAAATATCAATTAGCTGCATTGTTATCTATCAAAACAGTTTATTCTTGCAATGTTCTGATTTATGATCCTTTGTTCAGCAAAAATGAAATTGATAGCTTAAAACATTTGAACCTTATAGTCATTGAAAATAATGAAGAAGGAAAACATATTGTAGGTGATCATCCTGCACTAGTTTTCATGCCTCATTGTTCAAAGCAATTAACAAACAATTTTTTGTATGCTAACTGGAGTCCTTTAATACACAATTGTATTTTGTTAGGTAACAGTTGGTCTGAAATTGAGTGCCATACTACTGATGCTTTGCTCAAGCAAACTGCATACCATATTTATAAATTAAAATCGTATGTAACTGAAATAAAAATTAAGAACAATTTTCAATATCCTAAAACATTCAGTGGAACTTCATTTCACGTATTTACAGAAGAAAAATTAATTACTCTACCTACAGACTTTTGGAATAATAAACCAGAATTATTTTATACCAATAGTGATCCAGAATTTGTAACTGCTAATAAGAAGCATAATTGAAAATGAATAAAAATCTTTCATTGCTTCGCCAATTGGCAAATGAGATACGTATAACATCATCACATAATAAAGCAAGGGAAAGTCTAATGACGCAATATATCTTAAAGCAAAATCGAACTCATCAAGAAACTTCTGAAATGCTTTGTAAGGCCAGAGAAGAATTACAAAATTTATCTGAAAACTACTTGTGTTATCTTCAATCTCTCAGAAAATATCAACAAATTAACAAACATTATAGTGGCAAAGGAGAACGAAGTGTTAAAGAAACTGCTAATCTTGTTGGATTCAAACTCCCTCATGATCCTTATTAAATTGTAGTTTGTTTATGAACAATTAGTTTATCAATTAGTAAAGAGAATTCTTTAATAAATTATATTTTATGCAGTTATTCAAACTTTGTATATATTTTCTATTATCATTATCCTAATGCAAACTTCTCACCTTGATGTTGAAGCAATTTGATATATTAATATTTTCTATTTCATAAGTTAAGACAGCTGTATCTATTTGATTATTATTGAAGTCTTGGTGGTAAAATTGTTTACATAGTAGGAAATAAAAATACTACACTTTCTTTGGATTACTTGGATTCCAATGTATACTTTGCCGAAATTTCAGGATTTAAACAGATTCCATTAATTGATATTAAAAATATTAATCAAGATGAGTACAAGCAAATCAAGTGATGAAACAATTACAAAGGAACTAGAAAACTTTTGTCACAAAATACCAAAAATTGTAAGTTATATCAGCCAATTCATTGAACTAATAATTCACTGAAAAATAATAGCAATAAATTGATTGCTTCTATTCAGGAATTGCATGCTCATTTGAATGGTTCGCTTAGCCGACAAACTTTAGCAAAACTTTATAAAATGAAACATCCAGTAGAAACAGAAAAATGTGAAAAGTTTGATATCGAGAAGTGTAAATCATTAACAGAGTAAAGTATCTTTTTATTCTAATAGTATGTGCCACAAAAAATTATAATTAATTACAATAAGAAAAATTGGTTGCAGGATGTTTGAAGTATTTGATTTTGCTCACTCTGTAACAAAAACTGTAGACTCAGTGTACACAGCAACTTATGATACAATCAAAGAGTTTTATAAAGACAATGTAATTTATTTAGAATTAAGAAGTACTCCTAGAACAGAAATTGAAATGACTAAAAAGGAATACTTATTAGCTATTTTAAAAGCTATAGAGTAAGATGAGTTTTCTTTATACAATTAATTTCAGTTAGTGTGTGTACAATGATCTAATCAATATATAATGTTTTAGAACATGTAAGAAAGAAGTTTTAGATATTACTGTAAAATTATTGATATCAGTAAATAGAAAACAAAGCTTCAAAGCTGCAAAGGAAAATATCCACTTAGCTATTGAAATGAGTAGAGAATATCATGATATAGTTGGGATTGATTTGAGTGGAGATCCTACCAAAGGAGATGCTTTTATTGAATTACTTCATCAGGCTAGATCAGCTGGTTTGAAAATAGCTGCTCATTGTGCTGAGGTATACAGAGCAAAATAAATTCAGTATATTGTACATACTATTCATAGTAATATAGAATTAAAATAGCATCAATAATGACAATAACTTTCTACAGGTGGCCAATGAAGTGGAAACTATCGATATTATCAAGTTCAAACCTGAGAGACTTGGACATGGAACATGTATTCATCCCAGTTCTGGTGGTACCGAAGAACTTTACCAAATTTTGTTGGAGTCAAAAATTCCAGTTGGTATGTACACATTTTAAATAAAGTACAGCTACTCAAAATTCGATTAACAATAGTTAAATATATGAAAAATTGTAATTCCAGAATTATGTTTGACATCTAACATCAAATGCAAAACTGTGTTAACTTATGATGTCCATCATTTCCAGTATTTATATGAATCAAAACATCCTATTTGTATTTGTGTAAGTACATTTATTTTTTAGACATAAAAATATGTAAGCTTATATTTAAAATTATGGTAATGTAAATTTTTTTAGACTGATGATAAAGGAGTGTTTGACACAACTCTATCCAAAGAATTAGCCCTGGCAGCTGGGTACTTTAATCTAAATGAGCATGATCTTATACATTTGATGAAATCTAGTGTTGATTATACTTTTGCAACAGAGAATGAAAAGAACAAATTGATAAACACTATTAATAAATTTGCTAACACATGTGCATAGTTGGAAAAAGAATTAAAAAAGTTTATTTTTATACAAATTTGTTCATTTTTCGACACTCCGTGCGCAAAGTGCACCTTTCCCGCACGCTCGGCAAAAAACGTGCGTTGAAAATTGCACTCGCTTCCTTCGATTCCCTTCGATTCCCTTGTTTCGCTCGGGCGTAAACGCCACACGAGACAAGAATCTACTTTCCCGCACTTGTATCGTAATGTACTATTCCCTTCCGAACCCGTACGCAAAATTAACGAGTAAATATTTTGCAAAGAAACAAATTTAAAGTAATACTTCTTGGATAAGGTTTGCATTTATCGTTGATAAAATTGAATTTGGAGTTAATAAAATGTTTGAATGCTTATTGTCTAAATGCTTACAGAATTGGTTAATAAAAACAAAGTTAAAAATCATTTAAACGGATTTTTTGTTACTATTTCTCTTGATATATTTTTTTAAACGGATTGTCTGTTTTTAAAATAACAGAAAGATGAGAAGAATAGTCTATCATCTAATTTAATGCGAGAAAGAAGATTCTCGTCTTGTGTGAGATTTACACTCGATCAAAATCAGTATGGATAAGGTACACAAAACGAGAACCTTTTTACTGAACATGTTTTATATAATTACGGTATTTTTTTAAAACAAAGACTGGAAAGCGCGAATTTGAGTGCACATTTTTTACTAAGCGTGCTTGCAAGTCGTACTTTTGTCGAAAACTTAGTTTACCTGTCTTAACTTAGATATTACCTGTCGTGTCTATACATAACTTTAAGGTAGTTTCGTTTTAATTTTCAAACTCGGATTATATTGCATTGTGAATGTAAACATAAGATTTTTGTTATGAAAATACACATAAAAATTGGATCTTATCAGTAACGTAATTGATTTTTAATGAAAAATAGTGGAAAAAAAATTATCTGATGTCGACAGTGAGTATCAGCTCAGGCATCAGTGCAATAAAGGTCGCGAGTTCGAGCCTCAGGTATATGAAAATATTCAGAAAAGAAATTTTCATATGCTTGTTATCGTCACTCCTGGTGGTTTAGATTCCACCTTGAATTGTAGACATAGCCTTTCAGAAGCGGTGGAGAGGTTGATTATAAGCTCCTCATGTCGGCTACAGAGAACCAAGGCTAATGCGTATGCAGATACCTGTGACGTACCACTTGCAGCGTTTTAAAACGAACGTAGTTCTTGTAGTAACAATAACAACAATAACAATAATAGCTAAAGCGACTAGCTTAAAATTAAAACTTGTCATAGAAACTCAAAGTCTCGATATTTATCAAATTTTTGTCCTTGGATGTCGTAATTGACTATGCTTTAAAAATATAAGCGAAGCTGGACCTTTGAAGGAATACTGGAAATATATCAATTTTACTGTAGAAAGTGTAAAATTTAGTGTGATATTTTATTTATGATTTTTTTTGTTCAAGATGACAGGAAAGAATAAAATAAGACACAAAATGTAAAAGTATGTTCATATTTATTAATGATCGTGGAGCACGTACATAGATTTACAGAGAAATATTAAGCTGCTATTTTTAAGGAGTCTACTATATAATCAATAATCATGGGTGACGTATTGCTACTATTATTAATTATTAGTTTTATCGTCAATCGACGTCATATATATACACATCCATCAATACAATATGCGATGTAACTTTACGGTGCAGTCACTACATAATTAAAAAATAATAATCATATATTCATTTTCATAATATATCTGATATTTTAATTAATAGCCGACCGACACTCGCGTATATGGTGGCTTTAACAGTTAACGAATGCCTCACGAGCTTTTTGCCGAATCGCAATCGAGTGTGACAGATTCGTACATACTTTACACCTACAGTTTTATATTGATACATATGTGGATATGCAAGTATCATGTGTCACAGTGAGCTTTTGATATACGTCGAAACGAAATTCATTAAGGAACAATTTGACGTGCCCATTCATTTTTATGTTTCGCAAATATTTGTAAGAATATAAACACAACTTTTATTTCTTATTTTCAACACTAAACAGAAAATTTTATTAGATAATGAATCGAATGAATTAAAGGACACGTTTTTTTCTTTTTTTTCTTTTAACAAAATTCATCAATATTTAAAAAAACTCAAAATTAATCTAATTCAAGAACGATAGTATTCTTTTGTTAATGAATTGTTTTTGTACTCTTTCACGAGCCTAAACACTTGAATATTTACTTATTATAACTTATACTCCACTTTTTTCTTGATTCTTACAATAAAGTTTTGATTAGAAAGATCTTTCGCATAATCCATAAGCTGGCGGAATGAAAATTGCTCTATAGATGGTAATCTTTATTGCTAGTACTTAAGTATTAAGCAAAATGATTTCTTGTAAGAAATGACATGATAGAAGTACCTTCAACAGTTAGATCGTAATAAGAAAAAAATTTCTAGAATAATTATCCTATATAACAGTCTTTTTTGGCTAATCCTCAAACTATAAACAATGCAGATTTGTTTTTTCATCTGATGTGCCTTTTCCCGTTATAATATCGATTTTTTTTTTTTTTTTCATAACATACATGGAAAATTCGTGAAAGTTCCTTTCCATTTCTTTGGACTTTTACTGTTCGGTATTTAGTTCGTCATATTCCTAACACCATAAAGTGTTTATGTGTGGTATATTCTAAAGACTATGAGCAAAAATCAGTCGCTCGTTTTATTATTGTAATATGTCTTTTCTCATATATGTGATTTGAAATGCTATAAACATTTTATGAAGTCCGCGTACATAGCGTTACCTTCGTCTAAATTCAACTTAATAATTTGTTCTTACATTGTTTATATCTTTTTTGGAAGGTGTTTATTTTTAATCTTATCTCACGCGGTAAGAACGCCTAGATCAAATCAACAGTATTAATAATTCAACGAAAAATGTATTTTTTACGTGAATTTCAATCAGTGATTATAAAACTGATTATCACAATCATCAGTGATACACTTTTACATAAGTTGAATAAAACTTTTTTTGATAATACAAAAAATGTCAACAAATGTTTGAATTATTAACTTAATAATCGATTGCACTCAGTTAATAATTAATTTAAAAAGAAATTTGATGATTGCTTTTTAATACACATTTGATTAAAATTCATGTTTACACATAGTTTACAATAGTACGATTGTTCTAATATTAAGTACGTAGAGCCGGAGGTTTGAACATTTCTTTTCATGAAAAGAAATGTACTTAAAATTTGCTCGTACTTAATTATTTTTAAATATTCGAAGATTGTAGACAATATACACATTCTTTAATTACATTTAAAGCTCAAATAAAATTTCAACTACCCGAAAGCAAATCTGCAATCATTTAAATCAATTAAAGAAAAATCTACAATCCAAATATCTCCACAATGTACTACGGTCAGATAAGAAACTTTCAAAGACTTGAAAATTGTATCTTCATATGCGTTCAACATACACTCACAGATTCTCATCAGATCACTTGTGTTCCTTCTTACGAATTAATCTTTATAGAACAATATGTACAAACTTAAGAATAAGAGCTAAACTAAGCGACCCTGAGTAGATTTAGTTTAAAATTTTTTTTTTCGTTTTCTTTTTTAATTTTTTTTGTATTTTTATTATTTTTTTTCATAAAATTAATCATATCCGGTTTACGCCGATAAATAAAAATGAATTGATTGATGGGCCTGGTCATGGACGACATATTTGAGAATTGAAAAATTACATACATTATCTAAAATTTTGTCAGGGACGCCAAACTGATATGCGAACTAGTTATGAATCAAGATCACTACCTCATAAAGGAAACGTAAAAAAACGTTAATTGGCTCACTTCAATTGAAAATGCTCAAAGCTAGATTTATTAAAATAACACTAGTAATCAATCAAATAAACATTAAAATACATGTCAGCTTCAGAAATTCTTAGATGACTTACAAAAAATTAATATTATGTTATTGGTCGTAAAAAGTATAACGAATGTACATGTAAAAATATTAATAAAATGCTTATAAAATCTGTAATTAAGCTGACGTTAAGAGCTGGCGTAACGCTCTTCAAGCTTTTATTTTACATTAGGTCCTATGCTATCTATAGTCTTATAGTATAAAGATCATCGAAACTTAATGAAATACACAAAAGTAAGCTTCGACACAATAAATAAATTAAAACGTTTTGATTAAGTAACTTGAACGAATTTATTAGTTGATAAGTGAAAGAAAGAGAATAGTTTATGACTGACTGGACGTTACGATGTAATGCTAAATGATTTTTGCTCTTGTATATGTTTTTTCCATCTGCTGATTGCTCGATTGAACGTAAATTTTCCTAAGTTCCAGCAGAATTGGTAGTCATCAACAAAAATTCATTCGATACAAAGAAAACGTAAAATAGATTGTTTAGTAAAAAATGTTTTGTAAAAATCAAATAAAACTTTTCATATATATATATACATAAAATTACTCTTCACTGTTAATATTGCGCAGAAACAATTAAAAAATAATAAATAGCGACTGTAAAATATGATTCCATGTAGATAAAATTTGAGAAAAATCGAGCGTACATACTTGAAAGTGAAGATAAACAGAAAGTAATGTATGCAGGTATATACATTCGATAAAAACAGAAGGTGATGCAATAAAGAGAGAGAGGGAGAGAGAGAGAGTGAGAGAGAGAGCGTAAAAATAAGAAAAAAGGGTCTTAGAATTTACAAAAAAATAAAGATAGCTTAAAAAGAAAGTATGTATAATCTAAAAATCGACAAAATAACGTTCTGTCTTCCATTGCACACAGGAATCATCGTACGCACTAAAACGATCTTAATTAACATCCCTTTTAGTATTTATCGGAACAATATTATTTATAGAAATACAGTAGGGTATTTGTATAAATAACATTGATGCAGATAAGCGTAAACTTATACAAACGCTCCCGCTGAGCAGCTCGAACAGACACGTGTAGAGAAGGGAAGAAGCAACGCAGACGCTTAAACGCATATTTCATATGTATATATATAATAGTTGTCATCGAATGTCCGAGTGATTATTCACGAAGTGACCTGGCGCGACGACGTCTTGGATTCGCTATTGTTGCCCGACGCGCCGGCTTCCGCTTGGGCGAACAGCACGCCCTGGTACATCACGCCGTTGATCTCCATACTGACTACCATCGAATTATCACGACCATCACCTGCAAAAGCAATCGACCGACGGTGAGTTTGGGGCGGCGAGCGAGGTCTGGGGCGCGGACCGCGGAGCCTAGTGCGAACCTCGGTTGGAGATCTTGATGTGTGTGCCGGGCAGCGCGGCCGCCTGGTTCTCGGCGGCGGCGTCCTCGTCCAGACACAACCTCTTGTTCGTCGACTGCTCGGGCTGCGAGTCGCTGCGCTCGATTTCGCGCTTCACGGCCACGCTGCCTCCCGACGACGAGGGCGGACTCTGGCGATTGGGCGGCGACGATGTGCTCGGCGAGGACCTGCGGACAGCGAGCACGACGCCTCTGTCAGCGGGCGCAACGCGTCGGTGGGTGGGGTGGGGGGATGCGGGGGGGGGCACTTACCTGAGCCCGAGGTCGAGGGCCTCCTTCTGTGGCTCGGGACTGGCGGGTTGGGCGGTCGGCGAGTGCGGGCTGTCATGCGGTGAGATGTTGTGGGCGTAGTTGATGGCGGGATGCATGTTGTTGTTGTACATGTTCCAGAGCGTGAGCCGCGACATCTCGAGCAGCGCCTCGCGCGACGTCGCCTCCGTGGGTGGCGACGTGCTGCCCGGGCGGTGCTGCTGCTGGGCCAGCAGCGCGCTCGTCGGCGAGACGACGGCGCGTCGCCTCGCGTCCATCTCGCGCTGTAGATGCTTCACGTACTCGGCCATGCGCACCTCGAAATCCGGCGCCACGCCTGGAACGGACAAGTCGCTATTGTTCGCGAGGCCCGCTTCGATCGCCGCCGAGAGCAGTCGGTGCTCGCTAATCTCCGACGACTCTCGACGCCGAGCTGCAAACGACGAGTCGAGCGTTAAGTAGTTGCCACTGTGTCGCCTCGGCTGGCCGCGAGGCGCGGGGCGCGAGGCGCGAGGCGCAGCGCACTTACCGGCGTTCTGCGGCTGTCCGAGGCTGGCCTGCAGGCTCTGCGGGTGGTGCGGATGGTGAGGCAAGGGTGTGTGAGCCGCGCTGCCGTTGACGAGGTTCTGCGGGTTGACCGGGTGCTGGCCGCCGGCGACCGCTGCCACCTGCTGCACGGCCGACACCAGCGACAGCGGTGAGACGTGCATCGAGCTGGGCGTGTGCGGACTGCGCTGCACCATGCTGGACTCGGCGGCACCACTGCCTCCGCTGCCGTAACCCCCAGTATAATTGCTGCGTCGACCCTCACGCCGGTTACCATCGATAGCGGCCTGGAGCTCGGCCGGCGTCGACAGGCGCTTCTTCTCGCACTCGTACGGATACAGGTATTTCATGTACCTGCAAGCAGACGACCCTCAGCTCCGCGATTCTTTCCCTTCCCGCGCGTATCGGCGCGCATAACGATGCCGCCGCGCGAGAGAGCCTTGCTCTCGACGTTTCCGACGTCTGCCGGGGCCCCGCCAGACAATCGTAAAAAAGCCACACACCGCTCCGGCGAATTATAGGCCTGCTCTTGCCGCATTATGTATATACGCGTTTACGCCCTCTCTCTCGCTCTCTCTCGCGCGCGCGCGGGCGAAATCTCGATTTTTGCAGAGCGAGCGCAAGCGAAACAGGGGGGGGGGGGGGGGGGCAGGAAGGGTGGGGGCGATGGAAAAAAGCTAGAACAAAAAAGAACCACGCGGAGTTTCATCAAATTCATCTCGCCGACTTGCGTTGGCGCGCTCCGTAGGTGCGCTCTCAAGGCCGATCGACGCGCGCGCATGCCGGAGTAAATCGAACTTCCCTTTCGGCTCTCGTCACCGACGGACAGCCAATTTTCGCAATGCACTTTTTCGACTCTGCGAATTTTTCGGGCCGAGAGAGCGAGAGCTTTTACGCGGCGCGCACTTTACGACGTTGGCTGCCCTCTCCCGCTTCGACCTTCCTCCGCGGCCCTGTCAGTCACGGCTTTAATTTATAAATTGGCGGGTGTAAAAATGCAGATTTATAAATCGTCGGCAATTTTCTTGATACGCCGCCGAGGGACGATCGGGCTAAATTTCTGGCGCGACTCGTTCATCCTCTTTGTCGTCGGTGTCGCGCAACATTCGATCGACGGCTCGCCAGCTGAAAGCGCCGTTTCATCCGTTCCAGCGAAAACAAACGCCCGCAGCGACGACACTCGAGTCTACATCACACGCCGGTCTCTCTCCGCGCGCGAGAGAGAGAGAGCGAGAGAGAAGATGAAAGGGAAGAGGCTGTTCCATTGTGTGTTTGAGCAGTCTTATCAAGGCCAATAGAGCCAAACGGCAATAACCGCCGAGGGAAAATACACGGCGAAGCGTCGGCAGAACTACAAAAGCCGACCGCGAAAAACCGCGAAGTGTACAGGATACGACGGCGATAAAATAGCTCGGCGGACGCGCGCCGAAGATTTGGTTTCCTCGAACCTCGGGAATCAATCATCCGGATGCGTTTCGCGAATCGCGCAAAGCCAGACGATCGATCTCGCCAAACGCACTCGTAATATCGCCGATGATGAATAATGCAGCGCGCCGGGATAGACGGCAACAAAGAGGAGGAGCGGACGTTTAACGATGAAGCTTCAATCAGCTGGCGAACGAAGCAATAAGCGAATCGATGAAAACCAAGTAAAAAGAATGTCGACACGCGACGCCGCCGAAGCCAATATCCATCAAGCTCTCTAACGCGCGCGCGCGCGGCTGTAAATCAAGGCGCGTTACGAAAAACTTTTGCGCGCTCGGGCGATAAAAAAAAAAAAAAAAAAAAAAAAAAAAACAAAGCAAAACAAAAAGAAAAGGAAAAAAAAAAATTAAAGGCGCGCAATCTGCAAAAGTCCGCTGCGCAAGCAATCAACCGGCCGTCAATCCGAGACGTGATAACAATAAATAAAAGGCGATCGCGCGAACCTTCTCCTTTTGCCGTTCGCCCGGCTGGTCTTTTGAGCGTGAAATTGAGCGCGTATTTTTATCGAGGTCCGCTATCGGCACGTATACAGATCTGGCAGCGGAGCTTTTTGTCGCTGACAATTTGCTCGGGCGGTGGCGGGGGGTGCAAGGGGGAACGTCGGCGGGTTATTACAGAGAGCCGGCTAAATTGAAAATCGATCTGTCGCGCATTTTCGTGGAAGGAGGCGGGTGCTGAATCTTATACTCACTGAGTGCGCAGCGTGAAGGCCGCTGAAGTTATACTGGACGGTAGGTGGAGGCCTTTGATGATTTCCTGCCAGAGTTTCTTATTGATGACGTCAACAAGGCCGCCTCGCGCTATCACTAGGTTATAAAGCTCGTACAAGTCCAGCACCGACTTGGCCATTATCGGCAATCGGTTGATCGGTGTGCCTGCGAACCAGAAGCGAAAACACATTTGATTTGAGCGCCAGTCGTAAAGTGAACCACCCTCGCGGGTCGCCTTTACTGCTCGTCGTTAGCGCGCGGCGCCGAAGCCCCGTGCCGATCGTGCATTCGTTCGTATCAGCGGCGCGCTCGGGGCCCAACGATCCCTACACAGAGAAAGAGAGAGAGAGAGGGAGAGAGAGAGCGGCGATCTCTATTCGTCACCAATTATCTCGTAAATCATTGCTCAAGGACCGGAGGCTCGCGGCCGGGGCATTAAAATCATCGAGTCTGCGCTTGCACACGAGTCATTAAAGCATCGCGAGAGAAAGGGAGGGGAAGCATTGTCGCAATTTTGTGCCTCGCTAACGTAATAACCGCGCGCTACGAGCACACATAAAATATGTATATGCGCTCCTCGCATCTACTTGAGGCCTGTACGCGCGCATGCATCGGCGGCCCGAAGGGGGTTGTGCCGCCACGTCCAAGTGGTAGGAGAGCGAGCGGGGGAACCGGCAATTTTGGGCTATCGAGCGGCCCCCTCGGCTACTTTTATTATTGCTCTTCCCCTCCGCGCTGCAATTACCCGTGATATATATACATACGTAGCAGCGCGAGCCAGACTTTTTCCTTAATACCCCCCTCCCCCTGGTCCACCCCACCCAGTCCTCCAATGAAGATAAGCGGGCAAAATGGCGCGGCCTATCTCGCCAGCCCGTACACGTCGTCCTCTCGTTTTTGCTCCGCGAGCACGTACTTTTTATGGCTTTTCACGCAAGCCCGCGCGTATGCAACCGAAGCCTCCGAGCGATGTTTTATTTAAGAGCTTCGATGGATAGGCAGCGATGATTATACCTCGACCGGAGAATACATTGTCCTCGACGAGGCAGCCTTCGTTATTCGCCTCTCTCGAGGCTCGACCTGCGGCTTTATTGCGACCTAATCGTCTCCGGTGCGTCGACAGAGCAAAGCGCCGAGCGATCATTCTTGCCGAGTTGATATCGACCGAACCTAACGGGGACTTTCGAGCGGCCGAGCGCTGGAGGATCTTCGGGACGCGGCGCCACGCAGAATCGAGGGGAAAAGGCAGATCTCGCCGAAGCCGCACACCGAGAAAACGTCAACGACGGCGTACACGCTCGAGCAATCGCGCCCTCGATAATCGCGATCCGTATATAAGCGAGAGAACGTAATAGCGCATTGGTCGTCGTCGTCGTCTACGGCGGCGAGGCGGCGGCGGCGGCGGCGGCGGCTGCGCGGAAAGAAAGAGGGAGCGCCATTTCAGGATGCGATTACGACTTTTCTTGGTAGGGCGTCCAATCAGCAGTTATTTTTATAATGGGCGCGCCAATAACGTCGTGCCTGCCGACCGATCCTCTCTCTCTCTCTCTCTCTCTCGTTCTCATCGTCACCCGCGCAACAGCAGTCGCGATTATCAATCGGCGCTCTTCCGGCTTCGAAAACAAGAAAGAAATATAAAAAAAAAAAAAAAAAAAAAAAAAAAAACAACCAAAACAACAAAAAAGCCGGGCCTCGCGCGCGCGTCCGTCAAAAAGGACGAGACGAGGCGCAACGACGTCGTATAAATTCGCCGACATGGGTGGAGCAGCGCTCGCGCTCGCGCGTATTATTACGTACAATGTAGGACGCGCCGCGTAATTGCGTATAGGAAACAAAACGCCGCAGTTTATGGGTTATTGTGACAGGAGGCCGAGAGGGACTGAGCCCTCGTTGCCAGCTGCGCCGCACAGCCAGTGCTTTTTCTTTCTTTCCAGAGCTCGAATGATTTGCCGCGTATAAATTTGAGAAAAACCTTCAATTTTCTCTCTCCCTTCGAAAGCTCCGTTTGCTCCTTGAGACAAGTGTGTATTCGATTCGTACGGAGGCCCCCGCGCCAGCAATTGTTTTCCACTAAAACCGCGAGAGTGGAATGGCTTGTTTCGGGGTGGTGGGCGGTGGGAGGGGGGACGCGAAACGACTTTTCCCGGAATCGTCGCGTGACGAGTCGACTCTCCATGCACACATCGAAGCCGTTGCCGCCGCCGCCGCTGCTTCGTTTACGAGGGTGGCGTGACACCTCGCTATGAATTTTTCTCTTCACGGCCGTCTATCCCGCTGCAATTCAGCCAGCAGAGCGCAGCGAGATATTAACATATATCGGAGCCGAGGTTGTTGCGCTGCCATCGTGTACCAGCTGGCTTCCGCGAGGATCACGCGAGGCTGATTCGTGAATTGCCTTTACGAGCCCGAGAAATGAAGCCAAAGTCGCGCGCGCGTTCTTTCTCGTTGCTTTGCTCGTTTTATTGGCGATCGAAGTAAGCGCGAGAGGAGGCGGGCTTGTAAGCTGCAGTTGCATATGAGTATTGAAGCTCGAGGGGGTGGAGTTTCATATGAAATACACGCGACATTTACTGCAAGAGAGGGCCGCTCACGCTTTTTTTCACTCGCTCTCTCTCTCTCTCTACTCTCTCATCTCTCTCTCTCTCTCTCTCTCTCTCTCATCTCTCTCTCTCTCTCTCTCTCCCTCTCTCTTTCTCGCGAGACGGAGCAATTTATTGAGACGCGCGAAATTTTGTGCCGGACGATTGGCAAACGCGGCTGCCCCCCATCCCCCCTCACGAAACCTCCATTTCTCGCAAAAGAGCCGTGTGAAAATTTTGCATTGTTTGCCGAGACTAATTTACGAGCCGCTCGCTGTCAGCTTTATTCTAATGCGCTGCGCGGAGCCGCGCCAGCGACCTTAATATTCTATTTCGACTCGAAAGCACTTGTACTTTCGACGCAGTAAATTGTTTATTTTTATTGATTTCGCAGACAAACGTACTGGCTTACACGCAGCATTCCAATTTGCCGATAGCCGTCGAAAGAGCACGAACGACCCTTCATCCTCCGTCGCGTCGTTCGAGCGAATGCCATTTGAAAAATGGGAATCCCTAACGATACCGCGCGAATAATAAACATCGACGCGATCGAAAGAGCGATGCGCGCGCGAGAACAAAGACAAAGAGCAGGAGTGCACGAAGCGCATGAAGACGTGGCTCGCGAGAGAGCATCTGCCGCCACATCGTGAATCATATAAATAGACGTAGTGGGCATAAACGCACGAAAGAAGGAGGGCTTCCGCGCGCGCACAATGTGCCTTCGTAATCTCGTCAAGATTTCGCGTAAACGCGTCGAATGGTAATATACGGTGCGTTGCGCGCAATGCTCCTGGCCCCAAGACCTTACGACCGATTGATAAGCCGCTGCTCTCGCCTCTCGCCTTCCTTTTTTTCCCTCCTCTTTTTCCTGCTCGAGCTCGCGCCGCAGTCTCGAAAGGCCGTCCGCGAGGCGCGAGTTGCTCTTTGTGTCATTCTGACCGTCGCTGAATGCAGGCATAAAGTGTCGAAAATGTAGGAAGGAAAGAGAAAAAACCAAAGCAAGGCAGAAAGAAGCGGTCGCGCTCCGCCTCCGTGCCGCGGTGCCGCTTAAATTATGCAGAGATACGCCGACGGTACGCAAGTTATTCCGACATTTGCCACACCTGCAGTGCGGCTGTTGACAAATGCTCGCTCTCCCTCCTCCTCCGGGGGGACCGACGAAGTCTGCGAAAATCAGCGCTCGCGAGGCGGCGCACCGAACAAAGATGCAGCGCCGGAATCGCGCGCGTAAAACAAAGATTGAAAACGAAGAGGAAACGAAGGAAGCAAAGTCAGCGATGGGGGTTGGCTTGGCGTAGCCATAAAAGTCATCAGCGCCGACGCCTTTCGCAAAATTTGTGGGGGCCCGGCTCTCCGGATTAATTTTAACGCGAACGACGAAAAGAGAGATTGAGTGCATCGTTAAACGACGACGACTGAAGAAAGGACGGACGATACTTAGTAGCTCCTCTATGGACTCTAACGCGGATGATTATAAAAACGCGAGCTATAAAAGATGAGATGTGAGATTCGTTTTATTGGGACGCGCGCGCGGATGAAAGGCGGCGGCGTCGGGATCGCTCGATTGCCGAAATTTCCGATTGATTCACGACTCGTATATCAGGCATTTTAATGCAATAATCTCCGGCACACGCGGATATTCCGCATACTTTGTTTCCATTTTACGACTGTGCGCGAGAGCGATCGAGAGACCACAACGCTAGCGCGTGATTAATTTATCACTGCGCCGAAAAAATTCGTCAAAGTAAAATCCCACATAAGAGGATGTATTTCAAGATTATGGGCCCGGCAGAACTCATTCACGCGCGTCTTTCTCGTGTTTTTCTTTGCTGCTTTTTGTCTCTTTCGAAAGGGCCACCCGTGTCCCGTGCGGAAATTATTCGGCCACGCGGACAGACAAAGGAGGCATTATAGACGTGCAGCAGCGGCACACCCCGATCGATCGCATCTTATACGCTATTTATTAGGACAAAGATGCCCGATGGCGATAAGAATTGATGAGTCGACAGCAATAGGAACGCGCTCGAAACAGTCACTTTCTCCTCGCTGCCACGGGTCGCAATGTCATTTTAGCACACTCCAGTGACGGTGTACGATGTCGGGGTATCGGTATTTTTCAAATACTATTTTTCGCGCGTCAAGTTCCGTCTCATCCCGCGTGCAAATAGTCCACGTCCTATTTTTGCGAACTAGAACGCGGAGCGCGAGCAAAGAAAAGGCGAATGAGGCGTATACCCAGAGGTACGTGCAGTGGTGGGGGATCAGCCAGTGCTCGATCATTTGATATAAGCGGGTGGAGTCGGCAAGAGAGCGCAACAAGTGGTCGGCTGAAAGAGCGGAAGGTCGGACCCTCTGCAATTGTCCGCAGAAAGAGGGGGGGGGGGGGGGGGCACGAGATCGAATCGACCAAATGGTAGAGGAGCAGACGATCTCGACGCCACCGATGACAACGGAATGATGTCAGATGGCTGAGCCTTTTTTTGCCTGTCGCGTTGTAAAACATCTTGGAATAAAATACCGCCACGTGTATCTGCAGACTCGAAGCGCGAAGACACGTCCTCTGGATCACGAAAAATGCAATTGGCG